ATAACGGCTGGCCCTGGCACTGGGCCTGGGAGCTAGGAGCTGATTGGACCATGCGAGCCGGGTCAGAAAGGACACGCTCGGTGTGGGAATGTGGTGAGGAAACATGGCCGGAGTTTCCATGACATCCTGGATGGAGGGATGGAGGGTGTCTGCACGTTCCAGAACACACAGGGTTTCCATACATATTCCCTGGTCTCCCAGGATTCATAGGTTCACTAACACAAGGGTTAAACAAGGATATATAAGTAAGTTCATGTGAGTAGATGTTTCAAACTGGCTGATTGTCAGGGAGCCATAATATATCAGGAGAGTACGGAAAAATAATACATTTACATATACAGTGCATTCAGAAAGTATTTAGACCACTTGACTTTTTCCACATTTGGTTACGTTACAGTCTTATTCTAAAATGGATTAAATTGTTAGTTTTTTTCTCATCAATCTACACACAATACCCCATAATGACAAAGCAAAGACAATTTTTTATACATTAAAAGAAAAAACCTGGAAATATCACATTTACTTAAGTATTCAGACCCTTTACTCAGTATTTTGTTGAAGCGCCTTTGGCAGCGACTACAGCCTTGAGACTTATTGGGTATGACGCTACAAGCTTGGCACACCTGTATTTGGGGAGTTTATCCCATTTTTCTCTGCAGATCCTCTCAAGCTCTGTCAGGTTGGATGGGGAGCGTCGCTGCAAAGCTATTTTCAGGTCTCTCCAGAGATGTTTGATCGGGCTCTGGCTGGGCCACTCAAGGACATTCAGAGACTTATCCCGAAGCCACTCCTGCATTGTACAATGCAAATAGTCCGGGTAGCCATGATTAGCTGTTCAGGAGTCTTATGGCTTGGGGTTAGAAGCTGTTAAGAAGCCTTTTGAACTTAGACTTGGCGCTCCGGTACCGCCTGCCGTGCGGTAGCAGAGAGAACAGTCTATGACTAGGGTGGCTGGAGTCTTTAACGATTTTTAGGGCCTTCCTCTGACACCGCCTGGTATAGAGGTCCTGGATGGCAGGAATCTTGGCCCCAGCAATGTACTGGGCCTTACGCACTACCCTCTGTAGTGCCTTGTAGTCGGAGGCCGAGCAGTTGCCATACCAGGCAGTGATGCAACCAGTCAGGATGCTCTCGATGGTGCAGCTGTAGAACTTTTTGAGGATCTGAGGACCCATGCCAAATCTTTTCAGTCTCCTGAGGGGGAATAGGCTTTGTCGTGCCCTCTTCACGACTGTCTTGGTGTGTTTGGACCATGATAGTTTGTTGGTGATGTGGATGTCTGAATACTTTCCTAATGCACTGTATTTTAACAACATGTATTTACATATATGTACATGACAGATATCAAAATATATGTTTAAGCCTTATATATACATATATATATTTAAATGTATTTATTTATATGGTGTGGAAATACATTTTGACAGCATGCTGTGGTAGCTATTAAAATCTATTCCAAAATCTATTTCATAAATATATGTTGCCATGTATTTTAATGCATGAAAAATGTAGCTTTTTACCTTACATTCTTCAGCTTGGCTACATTAAAATTGATTGCGTAAAACTACACATTTCAGCACTAAATCACAAAAGCATGCTGTGGTATACTTTGAAAAGTTTGAATGAATGATTCATGACTGACAACTATGAAAATGTATGCACTCACTAACTTTAAGTCGCTCTGGATAAGAGTGTCTGCTAAATGACTAAAGAAAAAAAAAAGAAAAAAAAAAAAGAAAAGAAAAATAACTACTGAACAAAAATAGAAACGCAACATGCAACAAATTCAAAGATTTTACTGAGTTACATTTCATATAAGGAAATCAGTCAATTGAAATAAATTCATTAGGCCCTAATCTATGGATTTCACATGACTGGGAATACAGATATGCAAAAAAGTGTGTTAGCTAGCAATCAACACATTGCTTTGCTAGCCAAAAATATTTAACAATAGCTTTGACAATATAATGATATCTAATACATACATGACATTAGCTAACTCTACTCAACTTCAATTTTCAAAACAATTCTTACCTTGGTCAGTCACACTGCACGTTGGTGGCAAGCTAAAAAAGGAGCTAGCTAGCTAGGTAGCTAGCTGTGTTAGCAAGCTCGATGAAAACTTGCTTGCAGTTGAAGAAAGTATCTTCTTCTTCTGTCAAACATATTTTAATTAAATGTTATGAATGTATAATCAAATAAAATGGCATTATCCACGAGAAAGCTTTTTGGAGGTGACATCTGCTCTTCACCTTCTGAAGTCTCCGCGACCAATTTAATTGTCAATCGCGCTATAAAGCGGATCTTCAGCGCTACGGATTGAATAGAGCCCTTACAGGCACTATCTCATCACCAAACAACTATGACCAGTGAGCTGCTATCATCAACAGAGCTGTTAATCAACAAACAGGCCCTGGAGGGTGGAAGTTGGCCTAATGCCTGTTTCAGTTTAGTGTCTGCTCTGTGAAGCAGGGGGGCTAACTATGTGCGCTGGACAGCTAACTGTCATTTTTCTGGCCTGTGAGGAGAGGAGGCGAGCAGGGCAGAACTGGGCAAGGCAATGCCTGGGGAGAGGGAACGGGAGCAGGGCAGAACTGGGCAAGGCAATGCCTGGGGAGAGGGAACGGGAGCAGGGCAGAACTGGGCAAGGCAATGCCTGGGGAGAGGGAACGGGAGCAGGCCAGGACTGGACAAGGCCTGGGAGAGGGGGCACTAATTAGACTGTGTTAATTAGGGACTGTGAATGCTGGATAATCACAAGGCTGGCATCACCACTGGGATTGTGCTTAATGAGTGCATTCATATGAACACACAAAGAAAGACACACTCACACACACATGAAAGCACACACGTGCACTACACACACACACGCTCTTCAGCATGTCTGGGGGCTCTTATGTCTTACGCTCTCTTGATGGAGAGTCATGGTTTAGGCCCTAATTTAATTACACAGCCACAAACACTTAGTCTTGCACCAAGTTCCTGATGTGCAGTGACTTTTAGAGTTGTAGGACAAGACCAAACTTCCCTTCTTTTCTTTTAGTAAGTCAAAAACATGTTTTTGGCTCTAGAGAAAACCGTTTTGATTCTGGAGCCACTCTTCTCCCCTGCTGAGTCTAGTCTCTACAGTGGAACAACAGTGCCCTCTAACGTCTTACTTTGGTGCAATATGTACTGGAACTGCAGAACATTACAGAGGAGACGCACTGAGATCAATACCTTGATGAGACTCCAACTCTAACCCTTTACAATGGTGGAGCATACTTTTAATTGACAGCTCTAACTCACCCATAGAGAATCCGACTGTTTTTCCTTTCATGCACTATGAGGAGCACTGGTACTGTAAAGAATGATGGAAGAGTCATTTGTTATAGTTGGGAGAGAGGGAAGAATATTACGGTGCAAAACATTCCCTAATGTAAGAATATCTTCAACCAGGGTTCTTTGAGGACAGTATGAGCAAAACTGAGCAGGGCTTTCATGCTGAAAATTATAAGAGGTCTACAGTGTATTAATTCATAACACATCGGCATGCATTATACCAAGCAGTGCTTTCTAATTTTCCTGTCGGCTTGAGTCCTGAGCCATTCTGTAATTACATTGCTGTAGTCTCTCTAAATAGACCAAGGCTGGGGGAGGTTATGTGATACCCTGGCAACGGCAGAGTTTTATTTTTATTTGTCCTCATGATCAGTGAATCAGTCTTTCTAAACATTGTGTCTTAGTAACTGGTTTGGTGTGTTCCATGCCTGTCTGCCTGTCTCTGTTTGGTCTGTAGACTCTCTGACAGGGACAAGGAACAACACTAAGGATACTCCAACAGCCACCCACATCACAAACAACCCAAAACAACATTGTTAATGGGATTATTTGCCACACAGGATATCCTCCACCCATCCCCAAATGGACTTGTACATAGCCTACATTCATTGCCTACAAAGTGCACATAGCCTACACAGTATATTTATAGCCTACATACTAGTACAACACGATCATAATAGCTGACTAGAATTCAGCATGTTCTGCAGGAAAAAATGACTGACAGTGGATGAGGGGAAGGAAGACAATAATTCAATTAGTCTTCATTATTACAAGAAATTGATAGTAACCTTTTTTCTGATTTATTTATTTATTTATTATATCTATAAAAGGCACAATCTCTTGGTACATTTTGTTGTATTCTGTATTCTGTATTCTGTAACAAGAACAGCAAAATTACATGATATATATTTAAGCCCAAGTTTCTGTTGTTTATCACAAAATGTTGCATACACAACACTAACACACTGTTTAATGCTAAATGAAATATTAGACTGTATAATGATTTCAGCTGCCAAAGACACAACATTTAAAATAGTGAAAATTGTCAGGCTCCACATTTAATTAATTACAGCCTTACAATTAACCTAAATATAGTATATGTTGCCTTTGGATCTTGTGCGTAGATAGTAAGCAACTTCATTAGGACACTAACAAAAAAGGCATATTTTCTCAAGTCAACCATTTCAAGTTGCAGAAGATTTTTTGTATTACTTGATATCCCTTCCACTGCTCCAAATCCATCCAAACCACACATCTAGCTAATATCACAACACCAAAAAAAGAAACATACACAGAATCAAATTACTTTACAAACTGCATGCTTAATCATTATTCTCAGCAATACCAATCTCTCTAGTTTTTGTGGAGTTGAACAGTTCTGACTGAACGTTAGCACCATGTGTCTTACAAAAGAAAATCTACCAACATTTTCACATAGTTTATAAGCAGGCTAAGACTTACATTAAAATGTATTCATTATATTCCTTATAACCAAGAGTCTATCAAGGTTTGAGGTAAAAGATAAAACCTAAACTACAGCAGTCTCAGAAAGTGCTACTGTGCAGGTCTAAATGTCCTTAAGAAGTTACGCTACGGTCAACCACACAATCATCCTGGTGTTGCATAGTGTGCAGTTAAGAATCACTAAGATAATGAGCATAGATTAAACACACACACACACACACACACACACACACACATAGCCTTGTCACGGGCCGCTACAGCACCCTGAATGGATTGTTCTGAAAGGATCGGCTGCCAGAGTCTCTGGATACTGTAATGGTAACATGGAACTTCTCTCCAGTATACTGTCAAATCTGGACCAATGTCCATGATGACAGGGAGTCTAAATACTTATCATCAAGTCATCACAACTGACAAATAATGACAAGCTCCAGTCCATTTAAGCTCAAAATCTGACTTTGATGCAAACATGAAATAGATGTGTAGAATGTTGTTTCCTTTAAAAATCAGTGGTCAGTTAGGGTTTACAGGCGACTGGCGGAGAGACGTCCGGGAGAGGGGCTTCTGCTGCGACTAAACCCCTGAGAAAGAGCGAGAAAGCGAGAAAGTCTGTTACACAGAGCATTTCTTGCACCTTTGGATTTGAGGTTGCGTTCCTCTCTCCCACTAATACTATATCTAGGAGCAGCTGGTGTTTTTTCTACTTACCCTAAAGCGTCAGGGTATGCATGTATGTATTTTGGTGACAAGAGAAAAGTTTTAACACTAAATCACACATGCACAGCTTTCATATAGTGTTCTTTCCCAACTGCAACTTCCCTGAATATTTTCTTGCATCATAAAAACCCTGGGCTGACCCAAAGAATGACAGTAAATCATATCTAAACATCTTTCCAAAGAGTTTCTTGATTTTTGTGACTTGATTTTAAAGTATTAGGTATCAGTCATCGTAGTAACTTACGAGAGTGCGTGTGGGGCTGCCAGAGCGAACAGGACTGCAGCTCCTGCTTCTGCTCCTCCACTGGAAGACAGCAGAGAAACACCACATGAATCATTCTATATTTTGTATTGTGATCATGCAGTAATTGCTAAAGCAAAGCCTATGATTCTACAGTAGGGAATGAAGGTGCATCAGTACCAGAGCTCCTCTCCTGGTGACTGCCTCTCCCTTCACTATGACACCGTCCCCGTCCACCAGCGCTGGCCACACATGGTACACCACCAGAGGAGCAGTAAACTCAGAGTCATAGCTACGACGATACCTGGCAGAGAGAGAGAGAGAGAGAGAGAGAGAGAGAGAGAGAGAGAGAGAGAGAGAGAGAGAGAGAGAGAGAGAGAGAGAGAGAGAGAGAGAGAGAGAGAGAGAGAGAGACAGAGAGAGAGAGAGAGAGAGAGAGAGACAGAGAGAGAGACAGAGAGAGAGAGAGACAGAGAGAGAGAGACAGAGAGACAGAGACAGAGACAGAGACAGAGACAGAGACAGAGACAGAGACAGAGACAGAGACAGAGATGTAAATATGTGACCAGGGTGACATCAAGTGGTAGGGTTAGGAATTGTACATCTAACATCTTGTTACTGTAACTTCATGAAGTCAATGGATGCAGACTAACTTGTTGTCGCTGTAGAGTTCTCCACTGCTGGTGAAAGCCAGGTCCAGAGGAGGGTCCAGTGTCTGCATGGCGAAGGCCACTCTGCATGTCTCCCGGATGAAGCTGCTGATCAGGACAAAGTCCACCTCCGGAGGGAAGGAGACCCGTGGGTTTACATTCATGGCGTTGATCACGTCCTGGGAGAGGGAAAAACATCACAATACACTCAGACACACACCTCTTATTAACAAACACTCAATGAACTACAGTGCATGAGACTTTTGAAATTGGAATGTAAGAGAGAAAAGTGTAGCCCATACATTAACGCTGGCCTGCACGTCGTAGAGGTCCAGGTTCCTGACAATGTAGTCTACCACCGAGTCCTCCAGGGTCTCTGGCCCCAGGTGGGAGGAGGACAGGGTCTTCCTCACACGCAGCTTGAATTGACGGTAGGCCAGCTTGGCTGCCTGGAAGGCCTCCTGATAAACACACACCACACACACACACACACACACACAGACAAAGGGATTAGAGATACTGTATGGAATAGGAGCTTTACAGAGAAACCAGAACCTCAGGTCTGACATATCAAATTGGATGAAAACAAGGTCAGATGGTTACATGTGCTAGGATGATCATCTCCAATACATTGTGAATCACAGCTGGTCATCACAGGTTGTACTGTATGTAGTGTTATTCCATAATGTACAGGGTTTCCAGATGTCATACCACAGTGGCAATGAAGATGATTCTCTGGACCATCTCCAGGTCGTCTATGTAGCGTCGGAGCAGACTCTGGGCCTCAAGGCGCTCCACAGCGTACAGGTCACTGAAGCGGGACACCAGCCTGGCGTGGCGGGACGAATTGGTGAGCTGGGCCCGGGTGGGAGACTCACTCTTCAGAGGGCTGGAGGGGCGGCTCTGTCTGGGCAGGGGGCTGGGGGAACAACTCCTCACCAACCTGAAAGAGATAGAAGGAAGAGGGGAGGGGAGGGGATGTTTGAGGGGGGGATATGTAATTTGCTTTAAGTACATTTTTTACAGCTAATTTCCTGCATTTCTGCACATGTTGCCATTACTTATGCCATGTTAATATGATATCTGAGTGAGTGACTAACAAAATCAATGGGGGCCCCCTGGAGGTCTCCTGGGCACGTCGGTAAGTCGGCCATGATTACTACATGTTTAGATAGCTGGCTAGACTAACTACACTAATTTACCAATCAAAAAAAATGACTGACCTTGTGTATTCTACTATTCTAACTCTCAACAGTAAGTGACTGAGTTCCTAAAACAAATGTTTATTTGAAAAAATGACCGAGGTCTGGCCCTTGGTGTCCTCATATGTAGCTACTGCCCTGTGTGTGTACGTGTGTGTGTGTGTCCTGCTCACCTCTCCTGCAGCATGCTCTTCTCTGCTGTGAGGAAAGACACCTCATCCCTCAGCAGACGCACCTGCCTCTCATAATCATCCAGCACATCCAGCTTCCTCTTATAGGTCTCCACCTGGTCACTGGCAGCATGCAACCTGACACACACAGATACACACGATAATAACCTCAGAACATACACATCAATAAGCCAAAGAGGACAAATAATACTCACATGAAAATTGTACAAAACTGTACTAAAGTATTTATCACTCACTCTGCTTTCAGCTGTAGTATCTCATCCTCTGTGGCCAGCAGAGTTGTGGTTGACATATTTTTTGTGTCGTCCAGTTGCAGATGAGCATCCGCCAGTCTGTAAACGCATTCAACATACCAGTAGGTGAATAAAACAGAGACCAGAAAATGTGTCATACTAACGTCACCTGGTGCAGACTGATTTGGTTGGATAGAAATGGGTAGGTCTATTGTATAGATTAATAATGTATTGTATGTTTAGTGCATACTTACTCCTGTTTGACAGAGTCCAGCTGCAGGCGAGTGGAGCACAGCTGAGTCTCCATCTTCTGCATGTCGTTCTCATGGGAGGCAGACAGCTCCCTGATCTTCCTCTCCTTCTCCACAGATTCCTGCATTTTACATTTTAGTCATTTAGCAGACGCTCTTATCCAGAGTGACTTACAGGAGCAATTAGGGTTAAGTGCCTTGCTCAAGGGCACATCGACAGATTTTTCACCTAGTCAGCTCGGGGATTAGAACCAGTGACCTTTCGGTTACTGGCACAACGCTCTTAACCACTAAGCTACCTGCATGACAACACTCCGCATTTAACCTTGATTATCACTGTCTTATTTACACTATGTAACAGGACAGCATAGAATAGAATAGAATAACTTAATGAACGTAGCTAGAACCATAATTAACAAAACACCGATTATTTCACCTGGATGAGGTTGAGGCTGGTGTCGTTGGTGACAGAGGAGGTTGCCATGGAGAAACAGGTCCCCAACCAAGGCAGCAGGCGTGATTTGAGCACATCCACTCCTGCATAGTGACCACCTGACTCAAAAGAAAAGGAGACATTATCAGACAATTGTTTGGGTAAGGCAAAAGAGAGGAGTGTTGTGAGAAGCTTGGACACATACCCTCTCTAGCAGTGAGGTTGAGGATGGTGAAGAGTTGTCCCTGTATCTTGGAGGTGAGCTCCACCAACTCACAGCACCTGTTCAGATTCTGATAACAGGAGATTACCTAATAAGAAGGTGACAGACACTGTCTGAGAATTATGAACCATCACAAAAGGGACATACAATTTAAAGATATAATGTATGTCATCTCAATTTTGGGGTCAATTTAGGACTTTTAAAAAACACACATTCACATGGCTGATTGATTAGTGAATATATTTATTGATCATATTGAATTGAGGGATATACTGTATGTGCATATAAAATAAATTATATGTGACTTCCAGCCAAATGCGCTGGTTGGTCTCTGGAGTATCTATGTCTGATAATGCATGGGTTCAATCAGGACATGCATTTCAGGTTCCCACCAAAATGCTCGCGGGGGCGTGCTCGAGCCACTAGCTTTCAGTCAGGAATGGTTTCACGGTCGCCATGACGACGAGCGTCTATAGCAACCAAACTTCGCCAGAAAATCTATTTAATAAAAACAAGTGAATTCCTTTACCCACTACATTGTTTCAAAAACGTTCCAATCCATTGTGAATGTTATACATTGTAAAAAACATACCAAATAATGATTCCAAATATATTTTACTATCTGGTCAAGTGTGGCATAATCAAGTAAGCTAATCAAGTTATTTTAGATGGGTGGACAGAAATTCTATAGAGGAATCAAGTTCTCAAGGGAAGAACACATTTGCTGAAACAACCAGTGATTCATTAAATAGGCTATTGATTTCCACACCAATATCACATTTCATATAGCCTAGACTAATTTAGACAATAGCCTAAACTGTTACATGGAACGAATGATTGCAAAACTCATGTGTATCCTACCTATATAGTTGGTTTAGGCTACTTTTCGGCCAACAGATTTAGGGCAGAAATAAATTATTGATGACTTACATGGTAGTCCTTGTACCAGGACTCAAGTTTGTCCTGCAGAACGCTGAAGGAAGATGTGTTCACCAGCCTCCTTAGAGAGTCGGCCATGTCTACTCCGTCCCTAATCCTGAAAGGCTCAAAACACTCTTGGGCAACCGTGGGACTTAATCTGGGGCGAGAGCGCCCGTGACAAGGCGCACGCTCCCTTTTTATACTCGCCTTAGAAAATCTTGCCCTTGACGTTTTGTCCACCTTCGTTACAACGGGTGCCAAGCACCATCTCAGTTGTAGCAACGCTTTTTACTCATATACAGATTGAGAATGTTTGCTAAAGCCACTTGCATTGTTTTCAGTAGTAGTCTGGTTATTCCTGTATGACGCAGGTGCACAGGCGTAGTAGACTGTCTGTGATGTAAACGAGACCACTGTAATGTCATACTGTTACACACACGTGGGTGTTGGGTCCCAGGCACGGGAAAGATTTGTTTTCAAACACAGTGGATATTTCCCCATTTTTGTTTTAGAGTAGGCCTGCTGTACTATGGTAATTTTGTAACCCAATCAAAACAAATGTTATTTAGTTGTTGCTGAATGTGTTCTATGCATGTGACATCATCGTAGTGTGTGTGGTCAGGTTTCATAGATGGGGTGACCTGTTGAAACTTGCGCTAGAATGATAAGGCTATAATTATGTCAATTATAATTAATTATAAACAATCTAGCTTGTTGTATTAAAATTAATTGTTATTGGTAGAGTTTGAAAATATAATAACCATTCATGTAAACAGTTATTATATTTTATGAAAATCTGATTTATAGTACTTCCCCTGAATGGTGTTTGAATTGTGGGACAGGGACCTTTTCAGCTATAGAAATGCACAAAAATAATCTTTAATTAATTTAAATGTATTTCTTGCAAAATATATTCTAAAATACATTGAAATATGTTGTTTTAGTCATTCATAACATCTCTCAATCGATTTTATACACTGTATAGCAAATAAACAGCATATGATGACGGTAGAAGGAATTAGAGGGGAAATAACAAACAAAGGTAGGAAAGGAAAGAAAGGAAGCACAATGACATATAAGGAAAATAGTATAGAAAAGAGGCTACATGAATTATGAAAGGGGAATTTGGGGGATAGTAAAGGTGTTCAGGATAAAGTAAAAACGGCGCAGACTCCTTTAGTTATATTTTTACCAAGAGCTTGGAATGTCCCCAAACATTTTCCCAGGGCATGGGGAGGGTTTAGTAAAAGTTTATTGTCACAAAATTGTGAAAACAGAGTGTGTTATCTACAAGCTTCTACGAAGTCTACAAAGTCTTATTGATTGAAGTGGGACACGAATGTATTTCTAATGAGAAACCAGTGTCCCAGTTAATTTACTAGTGTCCCACTAACACCGAAAGCCACGCTTTAGCAAAAGTGTCGGTCTGGTGTTGTTTTAGGGGTTGTGGCATCCACTGAATATACATTATCATAAAATGTTAGAAAAAAACTTTATTAATTGAAATAAACATCACTTGAGAAGGGATAAAGTGATGTTGATTGTCTGTTTACTCTTTCCTATTCAGAAGCCCTGCCTGGAAGAAAATATGAATGGACAGGCTTTATATGGACTTTCCTATTTTGGAATTCTGCTGCGGGCCTTTCCCATTGGCTGGTTTAGCCAGGAAGGAACCATCTGTGAAAAATATATACTATGGCCTACAGTGATGCAGCTATGAAAAATGTGGTAAAAAGGCTTCCAATTCAGCCTTATTTTATGTTTTTGCTAATTTCCTAATAAAAGCCTCGTCAGAAATATTAAAACTGGCCAGATGTATCTTATGTTATTTACTCAATTGAATGAAGTGGTCTCCTCCACTGTTTCCCGACTCCAGTGCTGTCAAACGCATTCGAAGAGGGGAGGGTCAACATGGCGTCTGAGCAGGTCTGTTTCCATTAAGACGTTATTGTTTTTCTACATTTCACATTACCGTTTTTCTTTCCAAACGTCAGTAGTTTAGATTTAGGCATCTATATGCACTACGAACTCATTTGAAAGGAATTACTCTATTCGGTCGGCGTTGTAAAGCGTGTGCGGAGTATCCAACGCGATCACGCTTCCAAGCCCTGTAGGCTACACTGTTTTTATGATAGACATCGCTCAAAATAACGGCTTGATCGCCGCAGGTTTTCCACGGCATTGGACAGTTTGAACTGGTTGTATTACCCCAAAGCATTAAGTTATCTTTTCATCAGAATTGAATATGGACATAGACTATTCACATTTGTTACAGGGAATATACGTGTACTTTATTTTTAGTCATTACCTACAGACAGAGAGACTCGGGTGTTTAATTGCGCGCATTCCTCAGAAGCAACCTGTCTATCCAGCGACGCCTGCATAAAATCTAATGAAATGAAATAGAATGTGGTGGTTACAATGTTACAATATGTGTTTCTGTTTCTCTGTACTCAGAGATACAGTATATTTGTTACATTGTAACTACATATGGTAGTTAAATAGACTGTCAATTGGGTTGTTACAATGTATCAACTACTAGATCAACTAGACTGTAGAGTGAAACAAAATAACATTTAAGTCATTTAGCAGACTCTCTTATCCAGAGCGACTTACAGTTAGTGAGTGCATACATAATTGTTTAATTTTTCATACTGGCCCACCGTGGGAATCGAACCCACAACCCTGGCGTTGCAAACGCCATGCTCTACCAACTGAGCTACATCCCTGCCAGCCATTCCCTCCCCTACCCTGGGCCAATTGTGCACCGCCCCATGGGTCTCCCGGTCGCGGCCGGCTACGACAGAGCCTGGATTCAAACCAGGATCTCTAGTGGCACAGCTAGCACTGCGATACAGTGCCTTAGACCACTGCGCCACTCGGGAAATAACGTGGTAGTTACAGTGTATAGAACTCGCAATGTTTCAAATCACACAGAGAGGTGTACAGTGAAGTCCATGTGTTGATTGATGGGGACCACCCAGAAAGTGTTGTTTGTAGATGTCACAGCAGTATAACATGTCAAAGTTGGGTAAGCCTACTGAGCCTTGACATTGCTGCTGTTCTGTGTGTTGAAGGAGAGTTCTAATGGGCCTGTGAAGAGGTCCATGAGGGAGAAGGCCATCGAACGGCGGGCCACCAACAAGGAGCACAACAGCAACTTCAAGGCAGGCTATGTGCCCATTGAGGAGGAGCGCCTGCACAAGACAGGCCTGAGAGGACGCAAGGGCAACATGGCTGTCTGCATCATAGTCCTGCTCTTCTTGCTGGCTCTCATCAACATCATTGTGAGTGCCCAATGACACAAAACGTGTCCTCTGTATAATGTAATCATCCTTGTTTATCTGAATTCACTTTTTAACTCAGGCTAGTAGCATGCATGATATCATCAGAATGTTAGTTATGGATATGTTATAACTAGTTCTGATTATGACAAATCAAATCACTATATCTGAATCGCTGACATTTGTCCCATCTTTCAGATCACTCTAGTGATATGGACAGTGATCCGCATCGGGCCCAGTGGTTGTGACAGTATGGAGTTCCATGAGAGTGGGCTGCTGCGCTTCAAGCAGAAGGCAGACATGGGTGTGGTCCACCCACTACACAAGAGCACTGTGGGGGGCAGGAAGGACCAGGACCTGGTTATCACCGGCAACAACAACCCGGTGAGCTCAGGCAAAACACACTCACTTAGGAAAAAACACTCACTTAGGCAAAAAACACTCACTTAGGCAAAACACAGTCACACAGAATAGATTCAGAACACACAAATACATTGTTATAACCAGTCTATACATACACACTTCCCCAATAACCAGATATGAATACATTAAATCAGACTGTATATGGTTTTTGTATGTGTGTTCCAGGTGGTGTTCCAGCAGGGCTCCACTAAGCTCAGTGTTGAGAAAGAGAAGACGTCCATCACCAGTGACATGGGCATATCCTTCACTGACCCCCGCACTCAGAACACATTCTTCAGCACAGACTTTGAAAACCACGAGTTCCACCTGCCCAAAGGAGTCAAAGTACTCAGTGTGAAGAAAGCCTCCACAGAAAGGGTATGTTTCAGGGCTACAGAAGCCATCTAATAAAATATGTAGCACCACAAATAGTGTTACTGTAGATCAAATACATTCTAGTATCCATTCCTGTCATTGATTAATATTTTTTTTTAATCCCAGAATAAGTGGTAGATCTCTGAAGACTCTCTCTGCTTTCAGATCACCAGCAACGCTTCCTCTGATTTGTCCATCAAAGGGGACAGCAAGGCCATCATCCGCGGCAATGAGGGGGTCTTCATCATGGGCAAGACCGTGGAGTTCAGGATGGGAGGGGACATCGAGCTCAGAGCTGTGAGTGTCACCCCTTACCCAATTTGTAATACATGTTTATCAGGCCCTCTCCACGGCCCCCCCAGACGTTTCACATTTTTGTTTTAGCCCTAAACTGGCACACCTGATTCAATTAGTCAAAGGCTTGATGATTGGGAAACCCTGGTCTATGGTGTATTGCATTCCATAAAAAGTTATGGTTAACAAGGTCTTTCCCTTTGCAGGAGAACAGTATTGTTCTGAATGGGTCGGTGATGGTGAGCGTCACTCGCATGCCTAACTCCTCAGTGGGAGCCAACGTGTATTTCGACGAAGGTCTGTTGAGGGACAAGCTGTGTATGTGTGCAGACATCACTCTGTTCCGTGTCCAGGTGAAGTATCAGAACATGGGCTGCCAGACCTCAGACAACCCCTGTGGAACGGCCCACTAAAGGGACTGGAACACAAACTGAGGTTACACCATCCATCCTGTCCTACAATCAATAGATGGTCAAGTATGGCCAACCAGTGTTGAAATACCCTAGAACTACAGTTGAAGTCGGAAGTTTACATACACCTTAGCCAAATACATTTAAACTCTGACATTTAATCCTAGTAAAAATTCAGTCTTAGGTCAGTTAGGATCACCACTTTATTTTAAGAATGTGAAATGTCAGAATAATAGTAGAGAGAATGATTTATTTCAGCTTTTATTTCTTTCATCACATTCCCAGTGGGTCAGAAGTTTACATACACTCAATTAGTATTTGGTAGCATTGCCTTTAAATTGTTTAACTTGGGTCAAAAGTTTTGGGTAGCCTTCCACAAGCTTCCCACAATAAGTTGGGTGAATTTTGGCCCATTCCTCTTGACAGAGCTGGTGTAACTGAGTCAGGTTTGTAGGCCTCCTTGCTCGCACACGCTTTTTCAGTTCTGCCCACACATTTTCTATAGAATTGAGGTAAGGGCTTTGTGATTGCCACTCCAATACCTTGACTTTGTTGTCCTTAAGCCATTTTGCCACAACTTTGGAAGTATGCTTGGGGTCATTGTCCATTTGGATGACCCATTTGCGACCAAGCTTTAACTTCCTGACTGATGTCTTGAGATGTTGCTTCAATATATCCACATAATTTTCCTTCCTCATGATGCCATCTATTTTGTGAAGTGCACCAGTCCCTCCTGCAGCAAAGCACCCCCACAGCATGATGCTGCCACCCCCGTGCTTCACAGTTGGGATGGTGTTCTTCGGCTTGCAAGCATCCCCCTTTTTCCTCCAAACATAATGATGGTCATTATGGCCAAACAGTTCTATTTTTGTTTCATCAGACCAGAGGACATTTCTCGAAAAAGTACGATCTTTGTCCCCATGTGCAGTTGCAAACCATAGTCTGGCTTTTTTATGGCGGTTTTGGAGCAGTGGCTTCTTCCTTGCTGAGCGGCCTTTCAGGTTATGTCGATATAGGACTCGTTTTACTGTGGATATAGATACTTTTGTACCTGTTTCCTCCAGTATCTTCACAAGGTCCTTTGCTGTTGTTCTGGGATTGATTTGCACTTTTCGCACCAAAGTACGTTCATCTCTAGGAGACAGAATGAATCTCCTTCCTGAGTGGTATGACGGCTGCGTGGTCCCATGGTGTTTATACTTGCATACTATTGTTTGTACAGATTAACGTGGTACCTTCAGGCGTTTGGAAATTGCTCCCAAGGATGAACCAGACTTGTGGAGGTCTACCATTTTTTTCCTGAGGTCTTGGCTGATTTCTTTTGATTTTCCCATGATGTCAAGCAAAGAGGCACTGAGTTTGAAGGTAGGCCTTGAAATACATCCACAGGTACATCTCCAATTGACTCAAATTATGTCAATTAGCCTATCAGAAGCTTCTAAAGCCATGACATCCTTTTCTGGAATTTTCCAAGCTGTTTAAAGGCACAGTCAACTTAGTGTATGTAAACTTCTGACCCACTGGAATTGTAATACAGTGAATGATAAGTGAAATAATCTGTCTGTAAACAATTGTTGGAAAAATTACTTGTGTCATGCACAAAGTAGATGTCCTAACCGACTTGCCAAAACTATAGTTTGTTAACAAGAAATTTGTGGAGTGGTAGAAAAACGAGTTTTAATGACTCCAACCTAAGTGTATGTAAACTTCCGACTTCAACTGTATGTGCAGTGCATACTGCATACACATTGAAAATGTAACACCCAAAAACACTCTATTTTTTATGGTGGCCTTTTTGTTTGTCTGCATATCCACTTGGCCAAAGATATCTAGATAAGTGCTACATACAGTATTATCATTTTGTTTAGTTTAGACTTAGAGCAGCTCACTATATGAAGTAACAACAGACACAGCACTCTACCAAGCCGTCCAGTATTGTTACCAGTTCTGGGTATTTCTATTGATAATGATTTCCTTATGGATATTTCCACTGGCAGCTGTGTGTGACTCGAGTCACCCTGTATTAGGCATCAGCCACTGATCACTTAGCCACTATATGTATGTATTGGTTATGGTTAGTTAAGGAGTTTGGAGTTAGTTGGATATGTGCAAGGGTTAACACTTCATTGAAAAGATAGGAAACATAATTTTAGCTGTCCAGTATTACTGATTGCATGAGATAATCTGTGCTTTATGAGATGACTCTCAGTGCTCTCTACATTGCTATGTACATCTGCCTTCTCATCCTGTATGTGCCAAACATTGTCTCTGTGTCTTCAGAAGGGAAGAGATTGGAGTGTCTTTAGTTACAATGCCAAATGGAATTCATTTTCATCTGTCTATAATATAATACTGCCTAATGCTCAGAAACAGGAAATTGATCAGATATACTACAGATGAATGCAGTCAGCTGTTTTTTAAAATTGAAATGGTTGTATTCATGAGACTTTTGTGTTTGTTTCAATTATACATTTTGATAACGTTCTTTTGAAACAAATATCATTGAGTGACATTTTGTGCAATATAACATGAGTGGCAGTGCTACAAGTGTGATGTGTATTTACTTTGTGCTAACTGCAGTGTATATTAAATTGTTGCTACAGTAACATGTGCTTGGAGAAATGTGGTCATCATCTCAAGCAGCAATATGGACTCCATGCCTGTTTTAATTGATGTAGGAATGCATTGTTTTCCAATGGAACCTTGAGAATGAGCTTTTGGAAAATTATTTAACTTTCATTTTTGTTTTAATAAAGGTTTGTGCTGTGTTTGAAAGGCCCTGTGGTCTGTATTGCTTCTTGTCTTTTGTCAATTTGCAGTTTTATTTTCATGTTTCAAACTGCCCTTTTTGTGCCCTATCCCACAATGCCCACTTGGAGGTGTTATGCCACAATGCATTTAGTGTGTACTACATTCTATGTCTACTACATTTCACACTGTAAAGGGGCTAAATAACCAAGATCACTTTTTTTTTTTTTAGCTTAATTCAGTTCCGATCCAGTGATTTATCAATAAATAATAAATCCAAGCTGGGCTTAGTTGTCCTTGTCATGAGGATTCCTGGCAGCACAGTTACCTATGAAGGAGGGGAAAATAACATCCTGGTAAGACATTAACCACGCCATGTGAATGATTGAGGGAATCTGCTAAATGTTTATGTCATTTTTGGGTATGTGCATGTCTGACTCAACATGGCAATACACACTGCAGACTTTGATCTGAAACTACAGGAGACAGTAAAATAATCTGCTACCTTTGCCAGTGCACTGGGTGGGGAGAGAGTGAGAGTCACAAGTTCGCTTCGGTTGTATGCAATGTGGACACGGAAGGGTGAGCTTGAATTTATAGTTTTGTTTATGACGTGTGCCAATATTGCAGTTTGTGTTTCTAAATTTGAGACTAATGTGTGTGTTTTGATTCTGTTTGGGTGTTTTTGTATGTGTTAGACGTACAGTGAGGGAAAAAAGTATTTGATCCCCTGCTGATTTTGTACGTTTTCCCACTGACAAGGACATGATCAGTCTATAATTTTAATGGTAGGTTTATTTGAACAGTGAGAGACAGAATAACAACAACAAAAAATCCAGAAAAACGCATGTCAAAAATGTTATAAATTGATTTGCATTTTAATGAGGGAAATAAGTATTTGACCCCTCTGCAAAACATGACTTAGTACTTGGTGGCAAAACCCTTGTTGGCAATCACAGAGGTCAGACGTTTCTTGTAGTTGGCCACCAGGTTTGCACACATCTCAGGAGGGATTTTGTTCCACTCCTCTTTGCAGATCTTCTCCAAGTCATTAAGGTTTCGAGGCTGACGTTTGGCAACTCGAACCTTCAGCTCCCTCCACAGATTTTCTATGGGATTAAGGTCTGGAGACTGGCTAGGCCACTCCAGGACCTTAATGTGCTTCTTCTTGAGCCACTCCTTTGTTGCCTTGGCCGTGTGTTTTGGGTCATTGTCATGCTGGAATACCCACCCACGACCCATTTTCAATGCCCTGGCTGAGGGAAGGAGGTTCTCACCCAAGATTTGACGGTATATGGCCCCGTCCATCATCCCTTTGATGCTGTGAAGTTGTCCTGTCCCCTTAGCAGAAAAACACCCCCAAAGCATAATGTTTCCACCTCCATGTTTGACGGTGGGGATGGTGTTCATGGGGTCATAGGCAGCATTCCTCCAAACACGGCGAGTTGAGTTGATGCCAAAGAGTAGTTCTGGGCTTATTCCTCACCGTTCTCATGATCATTGCAACTCCACGAGGTGAGATCTTGCATGGAGCCCCAGGCTGAGGGAGATTGACAGTTCTTTTGTGTTTCTTCCATTTGCGAATAATCGCACCAACTGTTGTCACCTTCTCACCAAGCTGCTTGGCGATGGTCTTGTAGCCCATTCCAGCCTTGTGTAGGTCTACAATCTTGTACCTGACATCCTTGGAGTGCTCTTTGGTCTTGGCCATGGTGGAGAGTTTGGAATCTGATTGATTGATTGCTTCTGTGGACAGGTGTCTTTTATACAGGTAACAAGATGAGATTAGGAGCACTCCCTTTAAGAGTGTGCTCCTAATCTCAGCTCGTTACCTGTATAAAAGACACCTGGGAGCCAGAAATCTTTCTGATTGAGAGGGGGTCAAATACTTATTTCCCTCATTAAAATGCAAATCAATTTATAACATTTTTGACATGCGTTTTTCTGGATTTTTTGTTGTTATTCTGTCTCTCACTGTTCAAATAAACCTACCATTAAAATTATAGACTGATCATTTCTTTGTCAGTGGGCAAACGTACAAAATCAGCAGGGGATCAAATACTTTTTTCCCTCACTGTATCAGATTAATATTTAATATTGTGTGTTCATATATTGTCTTTCATGTTGAAACTCACATCTCACTAACTTTAGTTATTGTCTCTTGTTTTACCTATGTAGGCACAGGGCTGTTTGTGATGGCCGTGTCTCAGTGGATGTTCTGTGCTGCAGTGCTGCTCCTCCTCATCCAGGGGCTCCAGTGTTCTCCCACTCCCCCTGCTTGTCCTGAGCCCTGCCTTTGTCAGAGAGGTCTGCTAAACTGTTCCTCCATTGGCCTTTCCCAGGCCCAACAACATATTCCATCCACTGTCACTGAACTAGATCTATCCCACAACCTGCTGAACTCCCTTACCCCCTCGTGGCCAAGTTGGGGGCTTAAGAATCTATGGCTTGGACACAACAGCATCACACACCTGTCTCTGTGTGTTCGGAGGACCTGGAGGGGTAAACATTGGAAAGTCCCCCTCTCACATAGCAGAGGGAGATGTGTGTCCTGGGCCCCGGCTCTGCAGCTGCTGTCTGCTGAGATGAACCAGCTAGAGATGATCCCTGAGGGTGAGTCTCTTTCACACACACTCACACACAAATACATAAGGAATTGCTTCGCTGTACTATAGATGTAGTTACACTAATCATGAACAGGTGACTTTGCCTAACACATAAATAAGCACACATGCTCACACACACGCATTCACACCCATACTCTTATGAATGATTATCCTTAATAATTAGGACCTTGCTCTATTAGAAAATTATTAAACCAGCCCTGCCAATCACAAAATGAATTTGACAAATCATTGCACAATCTTCAGCCAATCCTAGAGGCTATTTACTGACATTCCAATGGCTCATAAGAGGGTGTAAAAGTGCAATGATTGTGTTTTAAAAGAGGGCAACGCCTCAATCATCATTTTAAAGTAGTATTTAATCTCTATTTGTTAACATTCCATCAGAGGAGTTGAACCTTTGTGTTTTATATGTATTCACTGGTGATTGTGAGTGTTTTCTCCTAGTTTGAGGTTTGTGAGGACTGTGGGCAGTTATGTGAGCTCTATGAGACAGACAGAGTGCTCTCTATGCTGCTTGATATTCTGCTCACAGTCTCTCAGTGCTCCTCTAATGAAGCCCAGACCCACAATGTCTCACTTCAGCTTAGCAGTCTCAGCCTAGTGAAAAGAGGAGACCGCAGGAGAGACTGAATATCATAGTGTGAAATAAGTGCTGTCAACAGAAACTGCTTGGCTTTAATCAATCATAACAGTACACATATTTCTACCCAACCCCAGTGATTTGTTTGTAGTCCCGGGCAGTGGTGTAAAGTACTTAAGTACAAATACTTTAAAGTGCTACTTAAGTCATTTTTGGGGGGTATCTATACTTTACTATTTATATTTTTGACAACTTTTACTTTTAATTCACTACATTCCTAAAGAAAAGAATGTACTTTTTACCCCATTCATTTATCCTGACACCCAAAAGTACTTGTTACATTTTGAATGCTTAGCAGGACTTGAAAATGGTCCAATTCACACACTTATCAAGAGAACATCCTTGGTCATCCCTATTGCCTCTGATCTGGCAGACTCACTAAACACAAATGCTTTGTTTGTAAATTATGTCTTAGTGTTGGAGTGTGCTCCTGGCTATCCGTAAATAAATACAAAACAGGAAAATTATGGCGTTGGTTTGCTTAATATAAGCAATTTGAAATGATTTATACTTTTACTTTTGATACTTAAGTATATTTTTGGGTAACACTTTACTTGACACCCAGTGTCATAACACAATATGACATGCTTATAACCATGTCATAATATGTCATAACAGCTGACATAACGTGTCATAACCTGTCATAATATGGTCATAACACTGTCATGACCCATATATTTACACCCGTTGTGACATATATTGCGTTATTTTATGGCTGGTTATGAGACCACATTTATTCAAATTAGTTTGTCCCCTGCCAAGAAGTTTCCTTCTGTTTAAAAGTTAGTTTCTTAAATCCTTTGTTGTTGGTGGAATTAATTATTTAGTCATGTTTTTTTTTTCATCATATTTTAAATAGCTTGTAGAAAATGCACTTTATGGCACCGTCATGAAGCATTATGACCATCCTGTGTCATTTTACTAGGACTAAGAAAATACACTTTATGACACTGTCAAGAAGCATCATAATCATATAAGCTAGATAGGCCTATCACATACATGCCCTTATGTCAGTCATCAGTTAAAAAGAGGGTGTCTTGTCCTGTTCCTTAAATCTGCTCCTGCATTCATCCCAGTCATCAGCAACAGAGCATTGGGGTGTGCGCAATTACAATTATAATTTAATATGGTCAATAAAAAAACAAATATATACAACACAAACATACTGTTGACACGTAGGCTATGATGTAATGGAATGTTTTGCCTTGTGTGGTAGGTTTTGTGGATTTTGACACTTATGTAGGTGTCATAACCAGCCATACAATAACTACTGTGGTAGGTTTTGTGGGTTTTTACACTCTTTTGTAGGTGTCATAACTAGCCATAAAATAACGCAATATATGTCACAACAGGTCTAAATATGTGTCATGACAGTGTTATGACCATATTATAACAGGTTATGACAAGTTATGTCAGCTGTTATGACATATTATGACATGGTTATGACCGTATCATAATGTGTTATGACGCTAGGTGTCAAGTAAAGTGTTACCACCAAATACTTTTAGACTTTTACTCAAGTAGTATTTTACCGGGTGCCTTTAACTTTTACTTGAGTCATTTTCTATTAAGGTATCTTTACTTTTACTCAAGTATGACGATTGGGTACTTTTTCCACCACTGGTCCCAGGACAGAATATTCAGTGTATAGTTAAAAACAAAATGGTTACAAGTACTCTACAATGTTATTGTCAATTACTCAAATACTGTTGGCCCCAGGTCTTGTTATACATTCTAGTAAAAAGACCACTGGGTCATTATGTTATCACCACACCGTAGAAGTGTCACCATAATGGCCCAGGGAAGTAAACACTACAGTGTGTACACTAGAGTAAATTATATTATTATATATTATATTATAGAGTAAACAGTGGGAGGAAACCCTATCAGTGCCTGTAGTTCAGTCCTGACAGGTATAGGCAGCAGTACGGACATGTAAGGGCAGGTATTCATTCATCTCAGGCTGGTATGCTGCTCGTAAAGCTCTAGGAGGAATGTCAGGCTGCTGCCCATGTATAGAACAGTACAAAGGTGAGCAGGGGACTCACACCTTTCAAATACCATCCTCTGTGCATTTATACAGAGGACAAACACGGGCCGTCCCAGTCATCTGTGTAATTACACCACTGTTACTCTAATGTGTTTGTCTTTTGTTTTTCAGGCCTGGGAGGCAGTGAGTTGCTACAGGTGCTGCAGCTCTCCCACAACATGATCTCTGACCTGCGACCTGGAGACCTGAGCAGGTGCCCCCTTCTGAGAGAGCTCCACCTGCAGCACAACCGTATCTCCAGCCTCCACCCACTGGCACTCAGGGACCTGCCGGAGCTCAGGGTAACTATACACACCAGCCATTTTGTTATCCTTTTCTTCCCACCTGACCAGATTTTTGATATTCATGTTCATAATGTCATCCTTCAAGGTCCTGGATCTGAGCTTCAACTTGTTGACCACGATCACTCCATCAGCCTACCTGACGCTGCGTAAACTGAATGCCCTGGTGGAGGTGAGTGGGAACAGGTGGAGGTGTGACTGCAGCCTGCGGAGCTTGAGGAGGAAGATGACCTATGACAGGGACAGGGCCCTGCAGCAGACCTGGAGGGGGGTGATGTGTTCCTCCCCCTCCACCCACGCAGGTAGAGACCTGTTACACCTGGAGGACAGTGACCTCACCTGCTCTACTGCTGAGAACAGGGTGGGGCTCCACCAGGATGTGACAGCGGATAAAGGGACAGAGATCCTGCTGCCCTGTGGCTCTTCAAAGGAAGGTAACACACTTCTTTCATTTCTGATACATTACACCAGGGTACTTAATTGTTACCCAGAAATAATTTGATATTGATATAAAAACAGCTGCATTGGACCTTTCATTTCTGTTTGTGTGTGATGAGTATATGGCTAACAACCATAAGAATTGTAATCACGCTTGGCTTTATAACAGTATCCCACTGTTTGTGATTTGTTCTAGATTCAACATGGTGGACGCCCAATGGACAAGTTCCTGGGAGCCAGGCAGGCCTGCTGATCAGTGATATCACAGAGCGAGATGCAGGACTGTACGTGTGCGTCTCTGGGCCAGACGAGGAGTCTGTGTCTGTATTCGACCTGCGCGTTCACAAGACACAGAGGAAAACCAGAGACACTAGGAGTTTACACAGGGAGCGGCTACAGATTAACCCAGAGTTAGGCAGCATCCAGAGGGAAAGTCAGGAGACAGACCTGAACTCTCTAGACCTCCACAGGGCTATCCAGAGAACACAGTCTGACCTGGTCCTGGCTGTCTGCCTGTCTGTGTTCATCACCTTCCTGGTAGCATTTGTACTTGGTGCTCTGACCAGACCTCTCCTGGACGCTCTCTGGAGGAGGTGCTGTAGGTGCTGTAACCGTACCAAGCAAAGCCCCTCCCCACCCGAGTCGGTCTCCTATGCTGGGCGGGCCCCCTACGACAACGAGGCCTATTCAGATGAGGAGGAGCAGGAGGAACTAGGGACACACAGGGAGAGGAGAGTGACATTTAGCGGCCATCCTTCAGAACTAAGGGATCAGAATAGCATTCCATACTATGATACTGTGGCCAATGGCAGACAGGACAACCTTGTTGGGGAATATGATGCAACATATGAGAATGTTCAGGAGAAGGATACCTCACACCCCTCCCTTGAGGTCTATCACCCGCCTGAGGAGGAGAAGCCTAGGGCACGGGACTCAGTCAGCTCAGGAAGCTCCCAACATGACAGCCCAGAGACAGACACTCACAGTAGAGACAGAGACCTCTCTGATATCTCTCTGGGTGAACCACAAGGGGGCGCTTACCCAGTCCATACCCACGGCATGGAGTTTAAATCCATCCCTGACCCAGATGAGTTGCAGGGGTGTCGAAGCTCATCTGTGTCTTCACACTCTGACCAGGACAGTCCAGATAGGGGTCAGGATATGGACTGGCCCAAAGACAATTTGGCTCAGAGATTGGAGGAGGCGCACAAGACCCGGAATAATCCCTGGGAGCGTCAATCCCCCCAGAAGGAAGACGACTCCTTTGAGCGGAGTTCAGATGTACCTACGGTTAAACCAGTTGATGTGCCACAGATCAATATTGGCAGAGTGGGTGAGATCCCTGGATTTACCGCTGAGCCCTTTGCTGATTGGAAATCAAACATGGCAGATCCCAACCCAATGGATCCTGAGCTGTGGAACGACAGCGGAGAGAGCTTTGAGTTCCCTGATTCCATCCGAAGTGCATCGGCACGGTCCAGTAGTCAAGATCTCTCAGGTTCTGCTTTTGCCGATCAGTTGAGAAAAGAGTATGAACAAGCGCAGAATAAAGAAACGCTTGTAAAAGACCAGAGGGAGAATGATAAGTCTAGCTCCAGCAGCTCAAGTGACAGTGGCAATGAACCTACAGAGTACACTGTGAACCCAGAGACGAAGGTAGTGAAGGAGAAGGAGATTGTCCAGGATGCACTGCTTACACATGATAGCACCCCAGACCCTGCTGCAGTGAACCCCTATCTCAAAAATGATGTCAGTTCGGATACGCAGCACTATAAGGACCCAGTCAGTCCCTCTCCAGATGAGGAAGGATTTAATGTGAGTGAACTGAGACAGAAAGTTCAACGCTCTCCTGTGTTTTCAGAGCACTCTGATTCGTCCAGTGATTGTAGGGATGAACCCACAAAGTACACATTAAACAAGGAGAGCGATGAGGAAGAGGAGGATGAAGCTCAAGTCCCAGATGTCACACACAAAGATCCATCTCTCAGTCTTGGAGATATTAATGTATCTTTGGCCCCAAGGAAAGCTCTCAATATTGGCTTCTCCAAGGAGGGTTTTCAATATCAACCAGAGCCTGAGACCAGGTCGACTGGCTTGGATCTAACCACCCAGAGTGCAATCAGCACAAAGGAGCCCCTTCCCCAACCTTCATTGCCCTCAGATGTGGCAAGGGATGAAGACCCACCAGTTTCAGTCTACATCCCCAGACTCAGTAAGCGTCTAGATATCCAGCCTCCTCAGAAAGCTTCACCTGCTCCCCCAAAAACACCACCAACCTCTGAATCCTCTTCCAGCAGTGAGAGTAAAGATGAGACTACAGATAACTCAGTGAAACTTGACAGAGAGGTCCCAGATGTCTCACATAATAATTCATTTCTCAGTCTTGGAGACATTAATGTCTCTTTGGCGCCAAGGAAAGCTCTCAATATCGGCTTCTCCAAGCAAGGTTTTCAATATCAACCAGAGCCTGAAAACAGGTCGACTGGCTTGGGTCTTTCTTTCCAGAGTGCCATCACCCCAAAGGAGCCTTCATTGCCCTCAGACGGGACAACGGCTGGAGAGTCTCCAGCTCCATTCTATATCCCCAGCCTCAGGAGACGTCTGGATATTCAGCCTCCTCAGGACACTCCACTTGCTGCTCCACAAACACCACCACCCTCTGGTTCACCCTCTTCCAGCAGTGAGAGTGAGGATGAGACTACAATTAATCAGAAGAGAGAGGAGATAGCTAAGGTCCCAGATTCATCTTTCATTCCCGCAGGCATTGATGTCTCTTTTGCTCCAAGGAAAGCACTCAATATTGGCTTCTCCAAGGAGGGTTTTCAATATCAATCAGAGCCAAATTCGTCTGGCATGGGCCTAACCTCCCAGATTGCCATCAGTACAAAGCAGCCCCTTCCCAAATCTTCAATTCCCTCAGATGGGACAAGGGATGAAGAGTCTCTAGTTCCACTCTATATCCCCAGATTCAGGAGACATGTGGATATTCAGCCTCCTCAGGAGACTCCACCTGCTGCCCCACGAACACCACCACCCTCTGGTTCGTCCTCTTCCAGCAGTGAGAGTAAGGAACTTGACAGAGAGGTCCCAGATGTCACACACAAGGATCCATTTCTCAGTCTTGGAGACATTAATGTCTCTATAGCCCCAAGGAAAGCTCTCAATATCGGCTTCTCCAAGGAGGGTTTTCAATATCAACCAGAGCCTGAGACAAGGTCGCCTAGCTTGGGTCTCTCCTCTCAGAGTGCTATCACCCCAAAGGAGCCGCTTCCCCAAAATCGATTGCCAGAAGGGACAAGGGCTGGAGAGTCTCCACTCGATATCCCCAGCCTCAGGAGACGTTTAGATATTCAGGCCCCTCAGGAAACTCCACCTGCTTCCCCAGGTTCACGCCCACCTGCTGGTTCATCCTCTTCCAGCAGTGAGAGTGAGGATGAGACTACAATTAATCAGAAGAGAGAGGAGATAGCTAAGGTCCCAGATTCATCTTTCATTCCCGCAGGCATTGATGTCTCTTTTGCTCCAAGGAAAGCACTCAATATTGGCTTCTCCAAGGAGGGTTTTCAATATCAATCAGAGCCAAGTTTGACTGGCATGGGTCTATCCTCCCAGATTGCCATCAGTACAAAGCAGCCCCTTCCCAAATCTTCAATTCCCTCAGATGGGACAAGGGATGAAGAGTCTCTAGTTCCACTCTATATCCCCAGATTCAGGAGACATGTGGATATTCAGCCTCCTCAGGAGACTCCACCTGCTGCCCCACGAACACCACCACCCTCTGGTTCATCCTCTTCCAGCAGTGAGAGTGAAGATGAGACTACAATGAACCAAAAAAGAGAAGAGGAGAAAGCTAAGGTCCCTGAAGTCACATATAAGTATCCATCTCTCAGTCCTGGAGACACACCCATTAATGTCTCTTTTGTTCCAAGGAAAGCTCTCAATATTGGCTTCTCCAAGGAGAGTTTTCAATATCAACCATCAGAGTCAAAGTATGAGAGTATCACCACCACAAATGATAGAGGCTTTCAGGAAGACACCAAGCCTGCTCCCAAACTGTCTTTGCCCAAAACATCAAGCCTTTCCTCCGCCTCCTCAGACAGGGCGAGAGCTGAGGAGCCACCAGTTCCACTCTACATTCCTGGACTCCGGAGGCATCAGAATATCCAGCCCTCTCAGGATGCTCCACTTGCCAAATCGTCCTCTGCTAGCAGTGAGAATGGAGATGAGCTTACAGAACACACAAAGAAACCAGGGAGAGACGTCACAGATTTCTCGCTCAGTCCTGGGGACACACCCATTAATGTCTCCTTCACCCCAAGAACTGCTCTCAATATCGGCCTTTACAACCCAGCCAGTACCACAGATGAGGTAGAGAGGAAGACCGGAGCAGAGGACAGGTGGGATAGGCCAGGGCTTGGTGGTCTGAAGGCGCTGTCAGAGACACAAAGGTGGGACACAAAGGACAGTTCTACAAACATGAATGTTTCTTTCTCTCAAATGAGTGCTCTCAATATCAACTCAGACAGCAGCACAGATGAGGTGGGCAGGAGAGCCAGAGCAGACTACAGCAGCCCCTTTCTAGAGGGCACCATTAGCAGAAAGGACGGAGGCTTTGAGGAAGAAACCAATCCCTCTCTCAAACTGTCTTTGCCTAAAACATCACGTTTTTTCTCCACTTCCACTGATGAGGCGAGGCATAGAGAGTCTCCACTCCAAATCCCCCGCCATAGGAGGCGTCTAGTTGTAGACATTCAGCCCCCCCTGGCTCCACCTGCTGCCCCAGGAACACCATCACCTTTCCCAGAGGGAGAAGAGGCAGCTGGTTCTGGATGGAAGAGCAGGGGACAACAGAGGAGGAGAGCCATGGATGGATTTGGCCGTACCGCCATGACACAGGAAGATGAGGGAGAGAGGAGCTATATGGGGTTATTGGCTGCTAAACCATTCGGCACAGCTCGTCAGTATCAGAGCATTACCTCAGAGACCATTATGACCACACAGCATAGTGAGATCTCTGAGAGGGATGGTTCTGACCTGACCTTCTCCACTGTGAGACACAGTGAGGCTTAAGACCGACTGTATTTGTTTGTGCTGATTTAAGAAAGGTTGCATTTAATATTGAGAAAAACGCAGCAGATGACAAAGAGATCAGATGTTGGATATGAGTAATTTGTGCTGTAAAACAAGACATGTTTATCGTAATGAAAATAGCTGTTTATATGACTTTGAATGATATAATAGACTGAGGGATTGTAAAGGTGGGAGCATTAAACACTATTTTAATTTCCCAGATTCTCGTCCTTACCTACCTTACTCGATACACAAATCCACTTTTTCTTTTGCTACAAAAAAGATCTTCCTGACTGCCTCCTCCACATGATGTGTATGTACAGACTGGTCTCATAGACTAGACGTAACATAGTAAATGTAAATCCGGGACACTCAAATGAGTATGATACACTATATACAGTTGAAGTCGGAAGTTTACATACACTTAGGTTGGAGTCATTAAAACTCGTTTTTCAACCACTCCACAAATTTCTTGTTAACAAACTAGTTTTGGCAAGTCGGTTAGGACATCTACTTTGTGCATGACACAAGTAATTTTTCCAACAATTGTTTACAGACAGATTATTTCACTTATAATTCACTGTATCACAATTCCAGTGGGTCAGAAGTTTACATACACTAAGTTGACTGTGCCTTTAAACAGCTTGGAAAATTCCAGAAAATTATGTCATGGCTTTAGAAGCTTCTGATAGGCTAATTGACATCATTTGAGTCAATTGGAGGTGTACCTGTGGATGTATGTCAAGGCCTACCTTCAAACTCAGTGCCTCTTTGCTTGACATCATGGGAAAATCAAAAGAAAATCAAAAAACGTATTGTCGGAAGCTTGTGGAAGGCTACCTGAAACATTTGACCCAAGTTAAACAATTTAAAGGAAATGCTACCAAATACTAATTGAGTGTATGTAAACTTCTGACCCACTGGGAATGTGATGAAAGAAATAAAAGCTGAAAGAAATCATTCTCTCTACTATTATTCTGACATTTCCCATTCTTAAAATAAAGTGGTGATCCTAACTGAACTAAAACAGGGAATTTTTACTTGGATTAAATGTCAGGAATTGTGAAAAACTGAGTTTAAATGTATTTGGCTAAGGTGTATGTAAACATCCGACTTCAACTGTATACACAAAAGTATGGGGACACCCCTTCAAATTACAGTATTAGGCTATTTCATTCACATCCATTGCTGACAGGTGTATAAAATCGAGCACACAGCCATACAATCTACATAGACAAACATTGGCAGTAGAATGGCCTTACTGAAGAGCTCAGTGACTTTCAATGTCGCACCGTCATAGGATGCCACCTTTCCAACAAGTCAGTTCGTCAAATGTCTGCCCTGCTAGAGCTGCCCCGGTCAACTGTAAGTGCTGTTATTATGAAGTGGAAACGTCTAGGAGCAATAACAGCTCAGCCACGAAGTGGTAGGCCACACAAGCTCACAGAACGGGACTGCCGAGTGTTGAACCTTGTAAAGATCGTTTGTCCACTCACTACCGAGTTCCAAACTGCCTCTGGAAACAACGTCAGCACAATAACTTTTAGTCGGGAGCTTCATGAAATGGGTTTCTGTGGCCGAGCAGCCGCACACAGGCCTAAGATCACCATGCACAATGCTAAGGATGGAGTGGTGTAAAGCTCGCCGCCTTTGGACTCTGGAGCAGTGAAAATGCATTCTCTGGAGTGATGAATCACGCTTCACCATCTGGCAGTCCGACGGACGAATCTGGGTTTGGCGGATGCCAGGAGAACGCTACCTGCCCCAATGCATAGTGCCAACTGTAAAGTTTGGTGAGGAGGAATAATGGTCTGTGGCTGTTTTTCATGGTTCGGGCAAGGCACCTTAGTTCCAGTGAAGGGAAATCTTAACACTACAGCATACAATGACATTCTAGACGATTCTGTGCTTCCAACTTCGTGGCAACAGTTTGGGAAAAGCCCTTTCCTGTTTCAGCATGACAATGGCCCGTGCTCAAAGCGAGGTCCATCCAGAAATGGTTTGTCGAGATCGGTATGGAAGAACTTGACTGGCCTGCAGAGCCCTGACCTCAACCCCATCGAAGACCTTTGGGATGAATTGGAACACCGACCGCGAGCCAGGCCTAATCGCCCAACATCAGTGCCCGACCTCACTAATGCTCTTGTGGCTGAATGGAAGCAAGTCCCCGCACCAATGCTTCAACATCTAGTGGAAAGCCTTCCCAGAAGAGTAGAGGCTGTTATAGCAGCAAAGGGGGGACCAACTCCACATTAATGCCCATGATTTTGGAATGAGATGTTCGACAATCAGGTGTCCACATATTTTTGGTAATGTAGTATATGTTGTGTTTGGTATATTTACATAAGATAGGTTACTTAAGTCAAAAACAAAAGGAGGGTGATTGGTCGGGGTGGATGGTAAGCATATAACGTGAACATCTAGCAACCCAAAGGTTGTGTGTTCGAATCTCATCATGGCCAACTTGAGCATTTTAGCCAATTAGCAACTACTTACAACCTTTCAGCTACTTTGCAACTACTTAGAATGTTAGCCAACGCTTCCCCTAACACTAACCATTTTAGCTAACCCTTCCCCTAACCTAGCTAACGTTAGCCAGCTAGCTAACATTAGCATTAGCACCCCTTGCTAACGTTAGCCACAACAAATTGGAATTTGTAACATATCGTACGTTTTTCAAATTCGTAACATATTGTACAAATTGCAATTTCTAACTTATTGTATGAATTGCAATTCGTGGATGATGGACATCCACAAATTAATACATACCATTCCAAACGTAACAGAATAATACGAAATGCTCTGAGACCACGTTGGTATGCATCATAAATAAACCTGTAAAGAAAGTAGCCCATACGGTGTTTGTGATGCCTTTGTCTCTGTTGTTCTATGGATACCTGGATAATAAGGTGCACACATGGTAGTTATTACTGTGTACAATAGGCCTACAGTAGCAGAACCAAATATGATCCTGTGCAATTTAGGAACACAGAATGAAACATCCTTTGACAACAATTGTTCACAATCGTTAAGGAAAATGTCAAAGCAAAAATGAAAGACAACGATAAGTTAATAAACCCATTTATACGTAGAGAGATAGGTTACAGTGAACAGACATATACATACTGTACATACAGTCAGGACAAGGTTGTTCTTCCTCCTGCATTACCAATGTAGAATACCATCTGAATTAGACTTTGTGCAAATTATTAGTGAGCAGTTTAGCAACTAGCTCCATCTCCTACCAAAACCTAAAATACACAAATACACTGATGACTGACAGTCAAAGCATCATGTGATCTTATTACTTTAGAAATTGAACCATTTACTGTACATGCTTTAGTTCAGACACCACTGGGTTTGACCAATCAATGATTGACATAAGACCTGATACCATTCTTACACCACACCTTCAACACTGCACAAAACTTATCTCCTTTCTCCAATTTCTCGAACTTTCGTTAATTTCAGTTCATGTCCATTTATTTGAGAGACTAACAGTGTGGTTCTTTCTGTGTGTGTGTGTATGTGTGTTAGAAGGGAGTGGTTGGGCAAATGCAGGATGGAACTCCTCTTCCCCAAATGAGGTTGCATGTGTGTTTCAGCTCTGAATATACACAGTCATAGTTTTTATAAAGCGTTAAGACAACATGACCGAGGATATCAAATGAAGCACAAAAACACTTGCACAAATTCCTGTACAAAAACAACAATAAAACAAGTATTCAAAAATCTCATCCATTCACAGATGGCTCTGATGGAGAGCGTGCATGCAAAGTTTCACTCTCATGACAATTGAGCGTCACATCACAGCTAGAGACAAAAGTTTACATGTGTTACAAGAACATTAGCCCTACGCTAGGCAAAAAGAACACCATAGCATCACCACAGGGTTCTAATTTCTAACCCTTCAGTGTCCATGGTTTTGAGACCTCTTGAATGATACATGGCAATGCATGCATGCTGGGATTGGATTTCCCCTTAATACAGCCTGCCTACCCTACACAACCTATTCCTCAAAGGCCTTAAACGGTCTTCCAATTATAACACTGTAAGTACTGGGGAGAGAGAGAGGCTCGTTAGTAATATGGATGAAACTGGATATGATCAGTGGACATAACAGAAGACAAGACCAAAGCTATATGCCAGATATGAAGATAAAATAGAAATGTACCTCTATTTTAACTTGCAACTTAGGCCAAACAGTCTAATTTCATCCTGAACTTATCCCTGACCACTGTGTGTGTGTGTGTGTGTGTGTGTGTGTGTGTGTGTGTGTATCTCATGTATGTGTTTTGAGCAAGTAAAGTGACTTCCATAAATTGTTAAGAGGCACAGAAAATACTCTTAAAAACCTACAGCTTAGAAACATAGATTGGTCACATAACCAATGAATGCTGGCCAGTCCACTAACGTCTGACCACTGCACTGTAATAAGAGTTAATAAGCAGCACTGCTGATTGGTTAGTTGTTGTTGTGGTATGAGGTAATCTGAAGGCTTCACAGGGGGCTACAAAGCTTTAGCACAGGCTGGTATCACAGTAAGAATACGGATGAAAAAAGGGGCTCAAAAGTCACTGGCACAAATTACTTAATCACAGTAAACTGTACAGGTGTCATCATCCACCTGTAACAACAGCTTTAATGACCATGACTAAAAGATCAACTACTGTAACACTCAGCCATTTGACACAGTGTGCTTCTTCAAGAATTCCAATTCAACCCAAACAGGACAAAACTGATAGAAACAATGGGTTCTTTAGGTTATAAAGAGACAAGTACAGATCAAGTTCAAAGCACGGATATGCAATATTCAAATGTGTCCAGGTCAAAATGACCTTGTTTTTAAGACTTAGACCGACCATTCAAAATGGAGGGATTTAGTTTGTTTTATTCCTCCTAAGGGGAGTGAAGGGTTCAAGAGTGGATCTCTCTCAAAACCATTTAGCCACTCAAGAGAACACCTTATCCTAACACACAGCAATATGACACATCACAGTGAGGGGGCGCAACACCACGGGGGCTCGCCGTGAGCTTACCCACAATGTAACATGGGTAGGGATCATTACCTGGAGAGGGTTGGTGACCTACATCCTAATCTCGCCAGAGCAGCTTGCACCTACCCCCCCCCAACCACATCACTATCATTACCTGGATGCACCACCTGTCATCACTGACAAGCACCTCTCCCATTTTGTATTGTTTGTTTTTAGTTCTCATAGCCGTTTATGTCATCGCCGTTGTATTATAATGTGGTTTTGTTGCAGTGTACCTAATGCTATGACATCTCTCTTTCTTTGTACCATTCCACAAACTCATCCAACAAAACTGGCCCTGACAAAAGAAGAGAAAAGAACAATAACGTTAGAGCACTGATCCCCTGTACCACTTACGGAATGAGTGTTTGTGTATTAGTTTTTGTATGTGTCCACTTACAGGCTCCATCCTCGTCATAGTTACTGAGGTCTAGGTTGATTGTCCTGCTGAACTCTAGAACGTTGCACCACTGGTCTTTGTTGATAACCTTATACTTGGATTGCTGAAGGACAGACACGGACAGGACAGGCAGTCAATACATAGTATACACTATAGTTTGACACGGTTTCGTCACTATATCAAGTTGAAGGTTACACGGGTTAGTTAGACACCATACCTCTAAAAACTGATTAAACACAGGAAACAGTGGCCACGTCTTCCCCAGGAGAAGCCCCAGCATGCACTTGGCTGTGTTCAGGTCTAAACTCCTCTGGTCCTTTTCCTACAAAATCAGAAATTAAAGGTCTCTATTCAATCCGCATTGCATAAATTCAGCTTTACAGCTTGATTTCAATTTAAAGGCAATGTTCCCGCTTTAGTGGAGACTGCCTTCACTGTAAACGCTGCACATGTCGGCTCAAATCGGAAATTACCTTCAAATTTACTTAGCGGAATCTGTAACGCTTCAGCTTTACAGATTGAATAGAGCCCTAACAGATGTCTCAGAGGTCAGGGGTCAAATATGACTGACTCTATAGAACAAGCAGTACTCATGATAAGAGCTTCAGCCATGCAAGGCGAACAAGAAAATTATCTTGACACACTCAAAACTAAGCTGAGCGCTGACAGCACAGCTTTACTTTCCTACCTGACGTCACTGATCCTTTTTTGTGTTTATTTCTATAAACGGTAATAGTTTCATTTATCATCTGTCGTGTGTTGAATCTAAACATCAACAAATAAATATACCAGTCAAAATAAATATCCCAGGGGAATAAATATCCCAGTCAGAGGAAATCTAGTGAGAATACTGCAGATGCGGCTTTGCTTCACTCACCCGAGCAAAATCGAAGGCGTATCTGTAAATGAGCTTAAAGTTGGTGGTGTCGTTTAGGACAGACCTCAGGTAGTCCAGGGAGTTTCTCAGCCTCTCTGTGGAGTCACACCTGACAACGCCAGAGAGACACGTTAGAGACAGACTAGAGTCCCAGCTGTCAGAGTGTAGACTGTAGACTATAAACAGAGTTGAATATAAAGTAGACTATACAGACAGAGGCAGACTTTATCCCCAGTCTGGGGTCAGCACCATGTTGTACATGGCACAGCTAGGAATGGACATAAACATTTACATTTACATTTTAGTCATTTAGCAGACGCTCTTATCCAGAGCGACTTACAGTTAGTGATTACATATTTTTTTTATACTGGCCCCCCGTGGGAATCGAACCCACAACCCTGGCGTTGCAAACGCCATGCTCTATCAACTGAGCTACATCCCTGCCGGCCATTCCCTCCCCTACCCTAGACGACGCTGGGCCAATTGTGCGCCGCCCATGAGTCTCCCGGTCGCGGCCGGCTGCGACAGAGCCTGGATTCGAACCAGGATCTCTAGTGGCACAGTTAGCACTGCGATGCAGTGCCTTAGACTGTCCCTACTGATAAACTGTAGGGACAGACACACAGAACACACATACAGTAAAACACACACAAACTGAGAGCAGAGACTTACTGCAGGGAGCCCATGCCTTTCAACCATTCCTGTAGGGTGAAGTAGCCCATACTCTGGGCATCCAGCTTCCAGGCCAAAACCAGCATCACCACCTGTTCACAAAGAACAGCATACACTCACATACTATAATACATTGAAATGCTTGAGATGTTTACTTTTCAATGAGTCATTTTAATCTTTGTGCCATCTCTGAATAATGGAGTTGTCCCCAACTATAACAAACAAAGTGCATGCACATGTGGATGGATTATAAATGTCACCCATCTACATAGACATGACTAGCAATCCTTACATTCTCTGGTTCCACTCCAATGTCTTCACAGAACTTCTCCATTCCCTCTGGCCCCACAACATCATCACAGCCTATCAAAGATACACACACATATATATACAGAGCCATTATATATGACATCATCCACTCCTACCAGAAACAAACACATAGGATTAATCTCTGATATTATGACAGCATAGTATGCCACAGACACAACAATGCTATGACATCACAACCATAGATTCTATTCTATTTACATGGTGTGATGTCATAATCCGGAGGTCAAAGCATTCCCTATTATGACATCACATCACGAAAACTATGATTATAATCGCTATTGTTATGATGTCATAGAATTATATGACATAGAAGAGGTAACAAAGTATTCTGACATCACAGCAAAAATTACAATCACAATGCGTACATACATACGTAACAATTCTCTATGACCCTATCCCACCTGCAGGTGACAAACACAAAACATTAATCTATGACATTATTTCATAAAGCAAGAGACATCCTTTATGAAGCAATCAATGATGCCTGATTCACAGCTTTCTCACACAGTACAATTCAACTATGAAAACCCAAATCTAAGGGTAACAGAGAAGGTATTTACACCATTATGGTCAGTGTGCTTATATAAACTGATAGAGGAATTGGGAAATTTATATTTACAAACCTTGTGTCTCACCTGCGTACTCATAGAACCACTCCAGACATCTTTTACTGGAGAAGGTCTCTTCCTCTCGGATTTGTGGTGCCTCATGTTTTCTAAAAACACTGCATTTCGAAAAAGACCATTTCAGACACAATCTACGGAACTGCACACACAGCATATTTCACCCATTACTGTGGGTGCTGGGAATACATTGTGTGGCCTAAAATCCTACCGTCTGGGAGCATATCACACACTACGCTGTAGAAAAAGGTTCATCCTGACAGATAACTATTGGATGAGCTATGTGAGGAAAAGTCATCTTGCTGCTCTTTTGAATTTCTGATATGACAATGATGTATGCAAATCCACTGGGGAGAGAAATCACTTGTCATCATGCATGCATACTGTTTCAGTGAACAGTTAAAATCTAGAACAAAAATGGTGCGCATTTGCATTAGATACTCGATTAGGTTCTGGGGGGAGATGTATGAGAAAAGATACTAGAATGAGGTGCAAAAGCAGGGCGGTAGCTCCACCCCCCTCTCTCTGCAAGTTTCAGGCAAGGCTATGGGTCAAATGTACCCTCCCCTTCCGAATTTCGAAAGACGTGCACACCCGCTAAATCAAGACTTGTTCAAATAACCAGTGATGAAAGACCTGTGCACACAAACAACTGTTACTGGTTACGCCTCGGTCAGACTGACAGCGTCCTTGCATCAATGCTGCGTAATAAATTATTCAGTCAAACCTTTTCATTATGTAATCCAAAATGTTTACTGGATATGTGTGCAACAAAAGTTCAACATTCACCTTTTGCTACTATTTCTTTCAAGTCTACGCATACATTTTGATGCATACGTTGGATATATCCAACGTATACACCACACAGAACGCACTGCAGCTGCATCTGCAACGCAATGCCGCAAGGCAAACGCAGCGTTCCATTGGAAATGAATGTACTTCTGGTGTTCCAAAATGCAATGACTGTCGGTGTGATCGAGGTGTTAGTCATCACATCCCAGTCTTTTGACAGACGTCACGTAGTCTGTCCACGAGTGATTAGTGAACAGTGAATCTGAATAAGACTCTTCTCTTATTGTGTAATAACTGATCTAACTGATGCATTCGTTGGTGTAGCAGGTTGGTAGTACCTGTCCTGGCGACTCTTCTTGGCTGACAGTTCATCTCCAGTAGTGGGTCTCCTCTTTTTCCTAGGAGGCATGGTTCTGGAGCAGCAGGCTGAGAGAAACAAGAGAGAGAGAGAGAGTTAGGAGAGAGATATAGAGATCAGTAACCAGCTTTCCATCCTACCTTTTTATGCAAGTAAAGTACATGTCAGATAAGAAATGTCACGACAGGCCTGATGGAAATAGCAAATTTGTCGGTAAACTTTCCAAATGTCGACAAAACAAAATACGCTAGAAAAGGTGGGATCTTTTTGTGTCGGTAAAATGTATTATGTGAGAAATGGCGGTGGAAATGCCTTTATGTGCAAATAACCATCATATCGAAGTAAACTTGGAGTCACGCGATGATATGTTGTGTGGTCCTCCCACTATGACTCGGGAAAGCATGCAGTTCATTAGGCTACAGATTAAATAAATTATGATTAACTTCACAGGGTGGTGAAAGTATCGAAGGTCTTATTCTGGTGACATGATGATCGATGCTTGGCTGCCATTTGACAAATAAATATAATCTTGCTCTTTTTGTCCTTAATAATCTCATCATGTAGGCTATACCCACACTGTATCTGCGAGCTGTTGGCTAGAGAGAATTTGCCAAGACCAGAGTGGGATCATTCGCTATATGAACAAAAAAACGTTGTGTGACAAAACCATCAGTAGAGTTTAAAATGCGATAGAAACCCTTCTTTTTTTTTTTCGGTACATGGGACTTTAACAGCAAAAGTTATTTTTATGTGCACTATGTCATCACGCACAGCCTTTTATCCATTTGATGGAAACACATCTGTGGTGAGAAATTGCTAATATTGTGTTTATGCAGATTTTTAGATGTAAGTGTAATTGGATGGAAACCGAGCTAGTAAGTGTCATGTAAGTCTGCATTAGATGCAGGCATGGTCGGTACCTGTGGAGTGACCGTCCTGTCCAACGTCCTCCGTCAGGTTCTGAGGGGAGAGATAAATGGCACTGTATTAGGCAACCCCCACCAAGAGACACATGCACGCACACACAGCAGCACCAACGTTCGCATGCAGTGAGCAAGGAAAGGGTGTGTGGGAAGCCATGCTCTCTCATTTCCTCAAGCTTGTAACCTTTAGAGATGCAGTTATTATTTCAGAGAGAGAGGGAGGAGAGAAGATAGGATGAGAGGAAGGATGAATTAATCCCTTTAAGTATCCATCCAAGAATAGAACATTAATCCATGTCTATAACTCATTAATAACTAGGATTCATTTGTACATAGGGTTAAATGTCCGTGATCAAATTCTTAGCGTTTTGCCAGAGTAACTCCATAAAGTAAACAGTTGGAACAGGTGGCAGGTACTCATATGACACATGAAAAACACATAATAGTATGTGGGCAAAATGCTTTTACCAGCCTGTGCAGGGTGTGGTAGATTTTGTGGATGCTGGCCAGCGTAGAAAAATGGGAGTTCAGCTGAAAATCTAAAGGGGGAAAAGTACATTTCAGCACATCTCTAAATGTAACACCACTACAGCACAGCACATACATTAGATATGGAACAGATACGCAACAGTACATGTAACATGTAACAATATGCAATATGAAACAAATATCTGCTTCTCACAGAAACATAACCTTCTCACAGAATCATAGGTTTCCCAGGGCACTGATAGCAGGGAGAACTCACCATCTGCTACCCACAGCCTGCCTACATCATCATGCTCCTCCCTCTGTCATGGGGGTCACATCTTTGCATTCAACCAATAGGAATGCAACCATCTTAATCACCTTCACTATTTGCATCAAAATAGTTGGGATGATGAAATAGTGACGTCAAACAGCCATAACTGCACATAATCAAAGCCTTTTGTCATGATGGGATTGATAATAAAATATGTATTTTTTATGCTGAGCAGTTATAATCGTTCTCTCACAGTACGTCTAATACCAACCAGAAAGAGGTATGAAGGACTGTAGCTAGATACAATAAAATACAGTAATATAATACAGTAGTCTACAGTCAGATCATGAGCAGGGCTGACAGATAAGGAGGATTGTATTCAAATGTAACTGGGTTCACAGAATCCCAGACAAAAAGTAGAGTGGTCGATTATGATTCAACACTACGCCGACATGGCCTATACAAGAAAAAATCTAGTCACCTCATCTGCGTTCAAGAAGTGTCAGTTTCGCTTTTAATCAGTTTCCATAGTCAAAACGCTCACACAGGCAGATCAACGAAAGGCAGAACTTCATCATAGCACTAACTGCATAGACTACCTAAAATAGCAGTACATACGCACAACTTGCACAGAGTTTACAAAGTATCTTGAGAGTAGATGGAGACATTATGGTTGTTGTAGTCCATTTCCTGGATCAAGGTTCTAAGATCTTGATCACTGGAGTGGAATTAGACTACAATTCCCGGCCTCAGAAATTAAGATTTCATTCTACACCCCTCTCCCGACACTCACCCCAATTGATGAATGCATATTATATTGTTACAAAAATGTTACATCCTATGGAATAGTGCATGCAAGTATCTTATGGTTTTCTTGCAACAGTTGATGTAAATGACGCGCAGTCAGACAGCTCTATTGCAGCAAGCATAGAAATATATTTTATAGAACTGCGTCACAATTTTCATCCTCTGTAATTTTCCGTAGTTGACTGGAAAACTGACCTATTTAGCCTACACAACATTGTTCCAAGTGTAACTTGCTTTGCAGTAGCACTGCATTCCCGTCCGTAAATAAGAGATAAAATAGCAGTATAATAGGTCAACAATAATGATATATTTAGCAGATGAATTCAACCGAATAGTAGCCTTTGCAACGTTAGCTGTCCTAACAATAAGTCAACAAAAAGTGCGTACCTTCAGCAATAAAACAGTACACAGTCCCTTTGTTGCGCCTCAAGATAACACTTGGAAATACAAAGAGAATGGCAATAGACAGATAGTCTGCGCATACATTTATTAGACACTCGATTAACAGCTAAATCTAAAAGTAAACAGATAATGCAATAGATCCGGTCGCTGTTACGTAAGTTATCAATACGTGGAGCCTATCCTACTGCGCGTAAAATACACCAAAAGCAACAACTATAGCTACTTACTTGCCGCATCAGAGTGCATTTTTATGAAACACACAACTGCCTGTGTGAAGTCCGCAGACCGGCCAGTAGGCGGGACATGACAACATAACCAATGCCCACAGATGATTTAGGCGGACGAGGAACCTAGTAGTCTCACCCCTACTCGTTCATAATAGGCTGTCTCTGGTGCCATGTGGGAAAGCTGAAGACAAAGAATTAAGACCCTCCTTTGGATGAACGTGACAGGTCAAAATTCCAAACCAGGCCATCCCACCGCTGTAGTTCATTGGCTAGGAAACTTACCTACGTATGGCAATGAGGGAGTTCGATTGAACCGTACTATGGCCCAACACGTGACCGGGCCAAACCGGTGAGCGAGACGCGCTCTGTTCAAATTGAACGGTAATCTGCACCCCTCAGTCATATTGTGAACAGTGCAGCATCGTTCAGAAACATACATCTCTTTTCCATAAAATATATGTTCGAATTTTCAAACTAGTTTTCATTGTGAAGGCAATCACTTTTTCATGTGAAAACACATAATCATACTTATTACTCCACGTGCTTAACCCTTCGTCACTTTGTTTTGAGCCGACTTCGCCGTCGGCCAGAACAGGGCACCCGGCTCATGACCGGGAGGCAGCCCTATTCCAAATCGATGCAATCAAGGCTAACCCGGTCCACCAGGGGAATGCCCTGGGTATTAATCGAATCCCCTCACTAATCGGAATTTCCTCGTGCAAGAATGAAAACCAACCCACGATGGAGGTTCATTTGTCGGTTCACGCATAATGAACCTCCCAATACACGTTGTGAATGGTGAAAATGACCTTCAGTCATAAGCAACTACGTTTGTTGTAAAATATAATTGGTTACACAGAAAACTGTTTACTGTAGGGCGTGATTTTCTTTCTTGTTCCCCATCTGAATGAGTTGTTTTTTGTCTCAAATTTAAAAATGATATGGTAGCCCATGTTTCTGCAGCATATTTAACAAGCATAATTGGTAAAGCTAACTTTTGTAACATTCTGTGCCTGGCCTCACATTCATAAATGTATGGAACTTAAACAGCGATGTACTTTTAATTTCAAAGGGCTTACATTTCATAGCTACTTTTGCAGAATAACTGCTGCTTGATTCCACATAGGAACAGCCCATTAGAATTCTGGACTAGGTCAGCCTATATTACTACATTCTAGTGATGTGTGTTACAGGGCAGTCTTTGTGGGGATCTCTCAATCACATACCAGAATAGCAGCGAAAACATCCTGTTCTCACATAAGGACGGTTCAAGGAGTAGGAGGCACTTACTGGGGGGGTAGAGCACTGAGAGGTCAATACAGATTAAGTTGCAGTGCTTCACTAGAGGGATAACAGTGGCGACCTGTCATTCAGGGCACATTTTCTTTGGGGGGGGGGTTGACTGTTTTGCATGTTATTTTGACATTTTATGTGTCACATATCAGTTTGCAAACAATGTAAAAAATAAAATAAAATCAACCGCATACAAACATGGTCTCTTTTTTGCTTTCCTGAGTAAGGCAGCTCCAAAATGCAGATGTTTCAGCCTAGCTCAGTGCTTTCTGTGGTGGTGGACAGCCAGCGGAAAATACGGAGTGTAGGGGTTGGTAATGTTTTCTAGTTGCGCCGTGATTGGCTCAGTGTTCTGTCACTCATGGGGGACACTACATCACCGCATAATCTAAGGGTAGAGCTCGAAAATTCAAACCCATTGGGTGCTGCCGATAGAGGTACATTAGAAGTGCCCAACCAAGAAGGCTCAAGGTCATTGGCCACAGATAAAATGATGTCAAATCACCTTATATCTACAGTAGCTTTGATTGGACTGATCATGTCAACATAAAACTTTCCAAATCTTAGCTAGCAGTCATCATAATGAATCAAGTCGACAATCTACTTGCAAATCCTTTTTAATCCTTGTCATATGAAGAGAAATAATGAAGAGAAATTATAGATAAAACGTATTGGTGCTCATCGGCCATTGGACATAAACATTACACAACAAGTTAGAAATCGCAAATTCAACAATTAGTGGTTTGGAAGGAATCAGTGGATAACTGCAAGCATTGCAAAGCAATCACTTGCCTGCTATTCAGTGGAGTGGCTGTGTGGTCCCAAATCTGGGTTTAAGGGTCTCTTTTCCAAGCTTAAAATGATAAACATTCAACATTGGCCATGCTGTCAATCCAGCATGATTTCTGCCTCGCTCAAAACAACTGTTAACTCAGAACTGGGAAATCTGACTTCAGTGAGATCAAGACAACTGGGAACTCGGGGAAAAAAACGAGCTCCGACTGGGAAAATAAGTTTTGAACGGTCATCCAACTCGGAATTGAAAGTCGGGAACTTGGGCCTCTTTCTAGAGCTATGACCTGAAGATCACTGACATTTACATGTAAATGTAAAATGTAAAATGTCATGATTTCATTCCCAGTTGTCTTGAAAGCACCATAAATCCAGGGAATGCCAGACTTTGATGACAAAGTTTGATGACAAAATTTGCCCACGAAGGACCGCCATGCCACCTTCCTGTTCAAGTGGGCACAGCGTAACAAGGTGAATCCAAAAATGTATTGTATGCTGCTGCATAAATGATGTAATATGCCAGGGAGATATGTATACTGTAGCTAAGAAAGTAATACTAAGTGTATGTTGTCTAGTAAGCTGTTAGTAGCCCATGTGCCTGACCCTAATAATTTGGTCTATTTTCCCCTCTTAATTTCGCCTAATGTTCTGACTTGGTGGTGCACACGTAGCCTGTAACCTGTTTTAGAGAAATGTAATCATCGAATATTGTAAGAGCTTTCATTGTCTGCTTATATGCCCCCATTATTTATCCTACGGTTCTGACTTGGTGTACAGGGAGAACACCGTAAGAATGGCCAATGTTCTGAATTCTGTCGCTGTACATTTCAAAAGTGCTTAACAAATAGTTATATTGACTACGTCCGTCCTAGCTCGCTCATGTCTTAATCGAAATTACGGATTTCCTCTTATCCACTTGTCGTCCCCTTATGTCACGCCCTGACATTGAGATCTCTAGTTGAGTTGGTCAGGGTGTGAAATCTAATTGATATATTTCTATGTTGGCCAGGTGTGGTTCCCAATCAGAGGCAGCTGTCGGTCATTGTCTCTGATTGGGGCTCATACTTAGGCAGCCATGTTGCCTACCTTAGTTGTGGGATCTTGTTTCTGTTTGGCTTGTTTGATGTTTAGCCTCTTGAACTTCACGTTCTGTTGGATTTTGTTATTTTGTAGGTGTTTATTAAAATAAACGACTATGTACGCATACCACGCTGCACCTTGGTCCGATCCTTTACACAACGAACGTAACACCTTATGCCATAGTTTGTACATCTCAATTGTCAGTAGAAACTACATTTGTTTAAGCAAGTCAGCTATATCAACTATGTTTTTTTAAAAGGCAGTAAATGAGGCTGAATGAACTGTTTCGCTGCCAGACAAGGCTCCGCTGATAGCCAGGTGTTAGAACTGCTGTTGGGACTCTGCTGTTGGGACAGCTTTATGTAGGCCCTAACAGTTTGTGGGCACCGTTTGACACTGTTATAGAGCAATTAATGTATTGTTTAGTGTTGTGTTTTGTTGTGTAGTGGCTTTGCTGGCATGCATCCCCCCCCAAATTTTTTTTGCCCCACCAAGATTTACATGCTAAAATCGGCACTAAGGGAAAATAAGGACAATGAATTGTCACCTGGATTAATGGGTAAGACTATAACAAATAAAGCAATTATACACGCAACATGTAAAGTGTTCGTCCCATGTTTCATGAGCTGAAATAAAAGATCCCAGACATTTTCCATACTCACAAAAAAACGTATTTCTCTCAGATTTTGTACACAAATTTGTTTACATCCCTGTTAGTGAGCATTTTTCCTTTGCCAAGATAATCCATCTGACAGGTGTGTCATGTCAAGAAGCTAATTAAACAGCATGATCGTTACACAGGTGCACCTTGTGCTGGACAATAAAAGGCCACTCTAAAATGTGCAGTTTTGTCACAAAACACAATTGAATGTTAATTTCTCTACCATAAGCCGCCTCCAACGTTGTTTTAGAGAATTTGTCAGTACGTCCAACCGGCCTCACAACCGCAGACCACGTGTATGGCGTCGTGTGGACAAGCAGTTTGCTGATGTCAACGTTGTGAACAGAGTGCCCCATGGTGGTGGTGGGGTTATGGTATGCGAAGGCATAAGCTACGGACAGCGAACACAATTGCATTTTATCGATGGCAATTTGAATGCACAGAGATACCGTGACGAAATCCTGAGGCCCATTGTTGTGCCATTCATCCGCTGCCATCTCCTCATGTTTCATCATGATAATGCATGGTCCAATGTCGCAAGGATCTGTACACAGTTCCTGAAAGCTGAAGATGTCCCAGTTCTTCCATGGCCTGCATACTCACCAGACATATCACCCATTGAGAATGTTTGGGATGCTCTGGCTCGACATGTATGACAGTGTGTTCCAGTTCCCGCCAATATCCAGAAACTTCACACAGCCATTGAAGGAGTGGGACAACATTCCACAGGACACAATCAACAGCCTAATCAACTCTATGCGAAGGAGTTGTGTCATGCTGTATGAAGCAAATGGTGGTCACACCAGATACTGATTGGTTTTATGATCCACGCCCCTACCTTTTTTAAAAGGTGTTTGTGACCAACAGATGCATATCTGTATTCCCAGTCATGTGAAATCCATAGATTAGGGCCTAATTTATTTATTTCAATTGACTGATTTCCTTATATGAACTGTAACTCAGTACAATCTTTGAAATTGTTGCATGTTGCATTTATATAGCAACGGGGTGTGAATACTTACAGTACCAAAAGGTTTGGACACACCTACTCATTCAAGGGTTTTTCTTTATTTTTACAATGTAGAATAATAGTGAAGACATCAAAACTATGAAATAGCACATATGGAATCAGGTAGTAACCAAAAAAGTGTTAAACAAATCAAAATATATTCTATATTTGAGATTCTTCAAATAGCCACCATTTGCCTTGATGACAGCTTTGCACACTCTTGGCATTCTCTCAACCAGCTTCATGAAGTAGTCACCTGGAATGCATTTCAATGAACAGGTGTGCCTTAAAA